ACGATTAGATTCTAGAAAAATTGACATATAGATCACTGCTATGCCAAATTTAGAAAAACACCGGACTGCATTTGCTGTAATATTAGATGCTGTAATACATATCAAATTTGACTTATTATTATAATTCTACAATATAGATACCGCCAAAGGCTAGAGTTTATTAGTAGATACAAAATATATGTATATATCACAGTATATCAGTACACTGGAAACTATTTATAAATACAAGGACATTTTATTTTTGATGTAAATTATTATAATCATTCTTTTTTTTGTTTATGAATGAGTGATTTTTGTGTTCTATTGTAGTAAATGAAAAAAACCTGGCACATTTGATAATTCCGCACAAATAGAGAGGGAAAAAAAAGAATATCATAGCTAATTTTAAATAAAATATATCTAATAATTTTGTCGAGAATTATATTTTGCTTGAATTTTAAATGAAACTTTATCGAAAAGTTTATTATTTATGATTCTTCTAAATGTGAAAAGTTTTTCATTTTTATAAGTGTTTTGATGAAAATAGTAAGATGATGCGTATTATGTTTCTCTTCACGAATGATGCTTAAAAAAAAAAATTATTTTTTTAACAAAATTAGGACCAACCACACAAGCTAAATATCGGTCCATTTGATGAGATCATTTTACGTTTCCTGAAATATGGATAATGGAGAACAGAATACACAAATTTACCTTCGTTAGCACCTTTTTTTAACTGTTTATAGTGCATAGCTTGCTGGACCAGATCGAGTATCTGATTTGTTAATTCAGCGTCCGCAAGCGGGAAAGCCTTTGGGTTAATCGTTGCAGCGGCCTAGAAAATATAAAATAAATGTGAATAAACTTGAAGTTTCATTTTTTGATCGATTTTAACATACCATTTACTTGAAGTCAGTGGAGAAAAAAAACAAGGCGCGTTACCAAAAAAAAAAAAAAAACATCTATATACAGATATATCATATCTGGTGATTTGTATAACATCTATCGCTATAAATATCGATAAGAAATTTTAATTTTCGATTTACCTAATAACATAAAAAAAAAAAAAAAATGCGATTAGAAAAATGCTA